ATATATATATATATATACACATAATTCTATATTACATTTATATATATATATATAGAGAGAGAGAGATTATACAGCCTTTAAAGAAGTCACTCAGTACAGAAAGTGCTGAGCCAAACACACACGGGTAAGGGGGGTCGAGGACTCGGGTGTTAATTTCCAGGGCCTGCATGGGGGTCCAGGGCTAGGGTTTGAGTCTTTGGGGGTTCAGGGGAACCCTAAACCCTAAACACAGCGATTGAGGGTTCAGGGTTTAGAGGATTTGCGTTGGGGGCTTAGGGTCTCGTTCAGGGTGGGGTTGTGAGATCGCTCCTCCGGACATTTGGTGCATCTCGGCTAAAGGGCCGAAACCCTCTTTGGTTTTAGGATTCATGCAGGGTGCTGCGAACCTGCCTGTGTCCTTGAAAGGACGAGGCAGACCGACACTGCAAGCATTCAGGGATATTGACAACGAACTTTTTGCTGCGGCGCGTTGGGCCGGTTTGGCCGAAGTCGGCCAAGACTTGCCTGGCGCATCCCGGCAGCGTTGCATCAGTTGGAGCGGCCACCGAAATCGCTGTTGCAGGCAGAATTCAGGAGTATATAGGGGCCTGAATAATTGGAATGAGGTTTTGGCCAGGAGCCCTACGCAATTCTGACTTTTTATTCCGACCCCTATACTACTCTTTGCTGAACAAGAAGGTGAATACTTCAGCCTCATCAGGAACTGCCCCCGCAGAGCACTCACATCAATGTCCTGTTGGACCCACCGACAATATTCATACTTAGAGAGCGATACAGGTGTCTCAATAAGAAAGCCATCAGACTAAAGAACGAGCGTCCCCAAAGCTCTTGAAGAAGCCAGGTAACACTGAACTTCACTAAAAATTCCCATCCAACCAACCAACCATCCAACCAGCAAGCCATGCATCCATCCACCTACCCACCAATTCATCCATCCATGCCTAAAGACTTATCTATAGACCCTTCTGTAGGCCCTCCTATGCAGCCTGCCAAAACACAAAACCTCAAACCGGCAGTGTCCGTCTGGCTGCATTGGGGCTTCCGAAAATAGGGGACCCTAATATAGTACCCTAAATAGTAGGACCCTTATTACAAGGATCCCAAAATGAGGTACCCCTAATTTTCGGAAACTCCCGCATGCTTTCCTGCATGTCCTGGGCCAGATTCAGAAGCTCGGCCCAACCATGCATGCCCCTACTTAAAGGATCATGGGACTTAGTAAGTAAGGTTATAAGTCCTCTAATTGGGATTATAAGTATAGTTACCTTAGTTATAACCCTACTTACTAAGTCCCATGATCCTTTAAGTATACACTGCAGATTCAGAGATAGGATCCTTTCCACATGTACTGGTGGGTTTCTGCCGACTTATCCCACGTATTAGACATGATCAAAATTCTTACCCAAAAGTGCATTGAGGCTAGAAGAAAAGTAGCACTGTGCCCGCAGCAAGGGCGGTATCATCCCGAGAGCTGAGGCCAATTCCGAACACTAGCCGTCACGGAGCATGACTTGCCTTAAGAACGGAATGTGCGTACTGCCGGGATTCAGGAGAACCTCACACCAAGATCATCAGAACACACAAAGGGACAATCGGTCGTCAGCATCATCACAACACATCATCACATCATGCTATCCATAAAGCAAAACAAGCAAATCCTGTGTAGCTGGAATCCTATATGTCTCTGTATACCCCGCCCCATCTTCAAGAAGTTGGAATCAGTGGATCTCTATAGTGGGTTTGGGGTGCCTCAATATACCTATAGCATAATATACCCTCAAACCCGATTCTAATTACTAAGGCCCCTATATTACCCTTAACCCAAGGCTTGGGGAGCCGTTCGGTCGGAGGCTTCTCCTGCTTCGCAGCCGAGCATCGCAGCTGAGGCAAGCCGAACCGGCTGCTGGTGTAGGGTTTAGGGTTTCGGGTTTAGGGTTTAGAGCACTATAAAGAATACCATTACGATAATGAACTTGAATCAGGCCCGTACGTTGGAGGCAAACAGCTGCGACTGCCCATTGACAAAAAGCGAACCTCCCGGTTTGCAGGCAGAGCACGTGGCTCCAGGCTTCGTCTGGTACGGCTGGTTGGGATCCCATAGGGTCCTATCTACCCGTATATAGTAGAATGTAGGGTTTTGGTATGATAGGAAGTACTCGTAGGGTTTGGGCAAGTATCCCCCATGCAGGTACTTAGGACCATGTGGGGATTCCACCTTGTGATGATGCTTACACATTCTCTCAGCTTCAGGACGACTCTCTCGAGTTGATCGGTTTCGGGTTAGAGGTTGAAGGGTTCGGGGGCTTTGGGCTACTACTTGTCCGTCTGGTCCTAGACACTCCATCTGCCTTCTATACACCCTAGATGCGCATTATTGGGGACCATATACCCCTAATTGAGGTTACAAGGAGGGTCACTGGGTTGTTAAAAATCGTGATGCCAAGATCCGACATCTGGGTCATTGCCAGGGCCCCACCTATGTGGGTCCCTGTCAAACAGGACGAAAGGAATGCTTTTGAGTGGGCTCTCTTTTCAAGATTTTAAATGTATGGAAACCAAACTCCGAAACAACAATGTTGACCAACTTGTGCTTCTTCAGCAAGCCGCGAAACTGCTTTCCAACGTGGACCCAGCTACTCAAAAGTCGAATGCTGCGCTGAGCGGGCGCTGTATAAAGCTTTCAAGACGATGTTATAAACTGCGACTCGCGCAAAACTCTGTAGAGCCGCGCGAGTGTTCACCGAGAACTCTCCACACAAGAACCTCACCAATCTCACTTCGCGATCTTGCGCCTCGAAGTTGAGCCCAATATGATTAAACCTAAGGATACCTAAGGTCTACTAAGGAACCATTGGGCAATTATGCTGTCTGGGAAGCACAAGAGCTTTGGATGCACAAGATCCAAGCCTGCCCGTCCAAGGCTGTGACAAGACTGAGATTCGTTCCTTTCAACGCATTTAAAAATTTGATCTTGAAAATCTCCCATGGCCCTGTACAATCAAAGAAGTTTTGAACTTCTCATATCACTGCCATAGGTTGGCGAGGAGCCCGAACGAGCCCGCTGCGAAGTAGTAGCTGAGCTTCTGCACATTTGATGCCGTAATTCCTGAGATTGCGAACGGGTTAGTGTGTCCTGCTCCTCTTCCGGTTTTCCTCCCCCGAAATAGCTGCACTCTGCAATCTTCCGAACCATTGTTCTGGGTAGCAGTACTAGCGATGGCAGGAGCACGACAAAACATTACAGAAAGCAATATCAGCTAATGGTAGAAGTGGCAGTGGCAGTGACACTTGCGGTAATTAACATTAGCAGTGACAGTAGCCGTGGCAGCAGTGGCTGTGGTATAGCGGTAGTGGTGGCGGTAGCGGTAGCGGTAGCGGTAGCGGTAGTGGCAATACGCATAGTAGTAGTAGCAGCAGCAGTGACAGTAGCAGTAGCAGATGCAGTAGCAGTAGTAGTAGAAGCAGTAAAAGAAGAAGTGCTCGTAATTAGTAGTTGTTGTTGTACCAGTTGGAGGCATGCAGGGTACTGCGTCATGGGAGCGCAAACCAAAAGCAAGAACCGGGTGCAGAATACTGCATAGGCATAGCACGAAGCCCATGAGCTTGCAGGTCGCGGGCTACTACATCATTATCCTAAACCCTAAGCCCTTTTCGAAGAGCTTGGTCCACGTTCGTCTTCAGTTTGGGAAACTACGTTTCCAGGAAAAGCATCGATAAAGAAAGCCCAAGACACGGATACCTCGAGCATAGAATCCCGCACGGCTGTGCAAGATGTATTGCACCACATACTGCCGCGTTTCGTCGAGGACCGCTTGGCCATCGAACGACCAGGAGTTCACCAAAGGTACCAGTCGATCGACCTTCTCGGTGACGGCTGCTGATGTAGACAGGACGTAGAGGAACCTGGTTCAGTGCTGGGACAGCTCAGAACATGGTTGATTTTCATCGACATTGAACGGACATGGATGCTACAACCTTCCCCTCGAATTGGCCCAGGAGGCAGGAGCAGGGGAGAATACAACCACCCCGTCCACATGACGATGTCAAGCACCGCCACTCTCTCATCTGATAACGTCATAGATGTGACCTGGTATGCAAACAGGATCAGCGCCGCGATGCAGGAGGAAGCGAGCCTCAGTAGCTAAGTGCTCTGGTCCAAAACAGGTTAACAATTGAAATATGGTAGGTTTATACACCCCCCAAGCCCTTTGCCCTAATGCCAAAGTCCTAAATGCCAAACCCTACACCTGAAAGTTCCAAATCCTTAACACCAACTCCAAAGGTTAGAGGTTACCTGCCTTGTTGCTGCTTGCTGGTCCTTTCCTATAACGGGAACTAAAGCTTAACCCTGTCCGTGGTTTTAAGTCTTAAAGTACCCCAAAACGTTAACGGTTACCCCAAACCCGAAACATTAAACCCTAAATCCTAAACCCTCACCCTTAAACCCTAAACCCAAAGCCCTGAACCCTAAACCCTAAACCCTAAACCCTTAAACCCTAAACCCTAAACCCTAAACCCTAATGCTAAGTAGCAAGACCAAGAAGTCGCTCAGTTTGCTCGACGTCTGTCGCAAGGTGGCCTGAACAACGTTCCAGCTCATCACTGCAGCCTCCATGTCACCTGAGGGTCTAGGGGTTTAGGGGTTTAGGGTTTAGGGTTTAGGGGTTAGGGTTTAGGGTTTGGGGCCGTAGGGTTTAGGGGTTACCTTAAACTACCAAAACCTACTTCTTTGTAGGGTCCCTACAAATTCTATATTTGGGTTCATAGTAAGCACCTACAAAAAGTTAGGTTATTGTAGTTCAAGGTAGGGTTTAAGGTAGGGTGTAGGGCCGAGTTTAGAGCTAAACCCTTCCAGCCACAAGCGGAAGACACGCAAGGACGACACTTCAGCCGGAAGAGATATGCAGTAGTTCAGAGATCTAGGAACTGTGCGACACCCCGAAAGCGGAAACAGTAGTCGATGACGACGACGACGACGACGACGACGACGACGACGACTGCGACGACGACAACGACTACGAGTACAATTACGACGGCGACTACTAGTACGACCACTAGGACGACGACCACGAGTCGTACAGAAAGTAGCACTAGGTGGTAGTGATACCGCGGTGGCAGGAGAGAAAAAAGGAGCAGCGAGAACAGAGTGCTTACCCAGACCTTCCAATATCCCTTAATTAGCGAATATACCTAAAATCATATTCGGCATCCTACTATAATTGCAGGTCAACTCCTTAATTCAGCAATATTGGAAGGTCTGTCCCCTAAACCCTAAAACCCCTAAACCTTAAAACCAAGAGCCCAAACCCTAAAACCCTAAAGCCCTAAACCCTAAACTCCTAAACCCTAAACTCCTCAACCCTAAACACCCTAAACCCGAAACACCCTAAACCCCAAAGCCCCTAAACCCGAAACCCCCTACACTAAATCCCAAAAGCCCTAAACCCTAGACCCGAAACCCCTGAAACCCTAAACCCCCAAAACACTAAACCCCTAAAGCCCCAAACCCTAGAACCTAAACCCCTAAAGCCCCAAACCGTAGAACCTAAACCCCTAAAGCCCTAAACTCCCAAAACACTAAACCCCAAAAGCCCTAAACTCATTTTTAAGTTTTCAGAGCCCCGCCTGCACTGAAAAAGTGCACCGCAAAGCTGTCCACAGCCAGCTCAAGACCTGATTTGGGTCGAAGGATTCTAGGATTTAGTAGAGTTTCGGGTTTTGGGGTTTGAGGGTTTTAGGAATTTTAAAGGATTCTAGGGTTTTGTAGGGTTTAGTAGGGTTTGGTAGAGTCTAGGGCTTTTAGGGTTTAGGGTTTCAGGTTTTTAGGGTTTAGGGCTTTAGGGTTTTAGGGTTTAGGGCTTTAGGAATTTTATGGCTTTAGGGTTTTAGTGTTTAGGGTTTGGGGCTTTCGGGTTCAGGATTTGGGGCTTTAGGGTTTTAGAGCTTTAGGATTTTTAGGTCTTTGGAGTTTAGGGTTTTAGGGCTTAGGGTGTTAGGGTCTTAGGGCTTTAGGGTTTTAGGGCTTTAGTAGAGTTTTAGGGTTAGGGTTAGGGCTTTAGAGTTTTAAGGATTTAGGGCTTAGGGTGTTAGGGCCTGAGGGCTTTAGGGCTTTAGGGTTAGAGCTTTAGTGTTTTGGGGCTTTAGGGCTTTATGGTTTAGGAATTTTAGCGTTCTCGGAGTTCAGGGTCTCAGGTGTTTAGGGTTTGGGGTTTTAGGTGTTTAAGGTTTAGGATTTGATCCGTGGGGATGATTCATGAGAGCAAGCGTTTAAGGCAAGACCTACGCAGGACCAAAGTCTTTCCAAGCCTGGCCTGCGGTTATGTGCAGCACGCAGTTACAAGCCGCGCAGTAGCAAACGGCCATCCCGACGAATGCCGCTAGCGTGGCAACATCGCAAGCAGATACCTGCCGGTTTGGGGTTTAGGGTTTAGAAGCGACTGCCACTCTCATTTGATACATACGTGGAAGTGTAGGTTGACGGACGGGGTGCAAATGCAGCGGCCTGTGCGAAAGATGTATCTGCAGGTATGACTGAGGCCGAAACCTGGACAAGTTCGGGTTCAAGCCTCATCTGTGGAACTCAAGCTTCAGGCGCCTAATACCCCAGTGACGTAAGAACCCCAACGGGCTCGTCGAAAGCACGCCTCGGTGGTCTTGCCGAAGACTGACTGCTCTGTCACAAACCTTGTTTGGGGGCTCGCTTCGCCTTGTTTCGACTCTACTGCTAAGACAGACAACACCGTTGAATACTCTGGCAGCTCGATGGAGGCTGCTGCCGCAATGAGTATTATTAGTCACAACAATACTACAGAAAGTAAAGAAAACATTGCTGGTAAATGGAATAGGTAAATGAAAACACCGCAGTAGGTACAGTAATATATTAACAGTGTTCGTACTTATACTGATCATGAACAACAACAACAAGAAGTGAAATAGCAGAACCAAGCACAGCACAGCCATAGTAGTAAGCATTTCAAGAGCAGTAGGCATAGTCGTAGAAACAAAATGATGCATACGTCATAAGAGAATAGGATCAAACATATTGTTAACAGTAATCGTGTTAAATAGTCGTAATGATTGTAACAATAATAGCAATACTCGTAATGCTCAAAAATATTAGGAACAAAAATGATAACATCAAAACATAAGACTCTGCTCGCAAACCGAAAGAGATACATGAACTGAAAGGAATAATAGTAATAATGTGTAAAGTAATGACGTGTAATAAGGCCAAAGGGTTGTAATAGTAGTAATCGTGAGAAGTAGCAATCATAATCTAGTAACGAAAGTATTGCCAGCGAACACCGTATTCGAAATATATATATATATATGTATATATATTATCCCGGTTCGGCCAGCCCCCCCCCC